GGTCGCGCCGCTCGGTCCATTGAGCCGCGCCTATGACAGGTCAGCGCGGCGCGAACACTTGAATACCGTGCCGTTTCGTCCCACATTTGGGTTGTTTCGCTTCCCATAGGCGGTAGGGTCGCCGTGCGGCTGCAGCTTTCTCTCGTGGTGGGGGCGTTTTGTGCAGTCGCGTCGCGGTCTCGGCGATTCCACGCGGAGCATAAATACAAACTGAAAAACCTGTGAGATCCAAGTGGAAAGGTTCTGGGAATGTTTAACATATGTATTTATTTTATTGTTTTAAAATAGTTTTCTTCGTTTCTTAATTGTAAACTTAAAATATGAGCCTTTAAAGCAGGGTCTAAAAATATATATGGTCTTTTTTTTTATAAAATATTATACATTTAACTAAAGGATCCTGCAAGCACTTTAATTTTCCCCCTTGACTCGTACTGCACAAAAAGTGGTTTAATAACGTTGAATGTTACAGGGACTGATTCTTGCAAATGCAGATCCCATTGTGTTCTGGTTAAATAATTTGTATTTATTTGATTTATTTATTGCTAAGGTTTGCATATGGTGGTGTGTTCTTTATGACAGCTTTCCTAAAAACATATCCTATTCCTAAAATAAGAAGTATCCCAATATATCGCCTTGCTTACAGTATTGCAATGTATCACAACCCCTTTATCGTGATAGGTATCGTATCACCAGACTTGTTAATGTATCATTATGTCATGACTTTACTTGTGGGGGCACATTATTACTAACTCATCATTAATGACTTATTAAGTAGCATTAATTCATGACTTGTTAATGTATCATTATGTCATGACTTGTCTTGGAGGGGCACATCTTTAAAGGTTATCAATTACACATGTTCTATACATATTCAGCTCATCTAAATCAGATATTTGGTGCTTTTCGGTGGTTTGTAAAGAAGTGGAAGAGCAGAGGTCCCGTGGCTGCAATTGGATGGAGAAGGAACTGAACAGTAGGAGGAAAGTTGACATTTTGAAGGGGCAATAGTGACCCAAAAGAAGAGCAAAAACACAAGACATAAATGTAGTAAACCAATCCATAACATAACCAAAGCGATAACCATCATCTCTATGCTAACTGATTTTAATTTGGAAAATTGCACCTACTTAATGAATACGTTATTGTAGGACGGCAACAGTGGAATCACTCAAAACAGAATGAGATGAAATTGTTTTTAATTATGAATGCATCATTGCGTGTTGGACGAGTTAGGTTAAATGTAAATATTACAAGAAATCCACTGTCGTTCACTGATGTTTGTGACAACTGCAGGTGGCAAATTTATAAACAATTTTACATTGTGCCATTTTCATACATCTTGCTTCTAGAGC